AAGCGCGGGCGGCTCCACCCTAGCGGCCGTGCAGCGACGGGTCGCGATATAAAAAAGTCTTTTTCGAGCGCGATCTTGACGGAGATTTCCTTTTTTCTTCTTTTTTCTTCGTGCGGCTGGCACGATTCGTTACAGTTTCCCCTGTTGCTGGAATCCCACAATCAATGGATTTCAAATGCGTCAATCGTGCCCCAGAACAAATTTAATTGCAGCCGGTCTTTCTTCACTTGTTCCTGTCGGCTTGTAACCGCTGGAACGCGCAAGAGAGGCCGGACATATTTTCACCTTGGATTGAGGTTTTCTTCCTCGACCACATGGACGCGCGAATAAAGCGGTTCTAGATCCATTCCGGAATCGCGTCCTGAGCTTGGGAACGCGCGGTGTAGTAGGCGCATCGTAAAGGTCACGTAAACGTACTCAACTTGTCACCGCGAAGTTGCACCTGCGATCTTGTAAATGGCCCAGGCAGGCCGTGCTTTGGTCTTGTTTTGCGGCTTCCCGCGCAGCCACTTGTGAGAAACCTCTATGACTTGGGCTCTAATTATGTCTCATATCGAGGGCATTTCCGCAGAATTTTCATCATCTCCACTAGTCCGATCTTTAACTGAGAGGCTCCCCCTACTCGCCGGCCTCATCGCCAATCTTCTCCAGCTTGCCCATCTCTCTCTTCTCACCCGACTCGCCGATGAGGCGCACTCTGTCAAGGCGCACCTTCTCGCCGTCGCCGTCGCCCTTGGTGACGTAGATGATCAAGCTGTTGATGTTCTGGAACTTGACGAACCGAAGACCAATGTTGGCAGTGCCGTCGGCGTTCCAGTCCTTCTCGGTGAGAGTGATGGCTTGCGTAGGAGGGGTATCGTCGGCCTCGCTGAAGTCGAGGTTGTGGGGCTTGTTCGTGTAGAGGTGGATGGTGCCGGGACGCATCGGAGCCTCATCGTCGTCGTCGTCGGTAGGAGGAAGAGAGGTCAGCTGCGATGTTGGTCAGTAATGCTAGGTTGCTTGTTTCTCAACGATGAACCTACCTGAAGGGTGTGCAGCTTCAGCATGGACTGGAACGGCATGAAAAGCAGAAGCTGATCGTCAGCGCCACTCTCAACCCAGTCCTTGGCTCCCTCCTTCTTGGCCAGAGCGCTGGGCTTAGAGGTATCGAACAAGACACGGACGGGACCAAAGTCCTCGTCGGCATTCAGAAGCTCGCAGCCCTTGGGCTCAATCTGATCGGTGATATCGGTGTAGCCGCGCGGGAGCGCAGCGCCTCTCCAGCTGCCGCCGCTCGAGCTGCCAGAACCCCCGCCAGATCCAGGCGCAGATCCGCCCTCGACCTCCTTCACCAACTTCTTGACAACCTCCTGGAGCTTGCGGGGGTCGGCACCCTGGACCTTCTCGATCGCCTTGCCTTCGCGGAAGACCATGAAGGTCGGGAGGGAGGTGACATTGTAGGTGCTGGCGATATCCTTCTGGGCCTCGACGTCGATCTTGACGAATGTTACGACATCTTTGCGTGACAGGGAGGACGAGAGCTGCTCGTAGAGAGGAGCAATGGCCTTGCAGGGACCGCACCAATCGGCGTAGACTGCGACGAGCCCAATTTGTCAGCAACCTCAAAGCAAGAGAGAGTACATTAGCAACCCAGGTAACGGCGAGGTTGCCTCAATCCAGACCATCCAGAGTCCAGTGAAGCAGCCTGCCAGCCATCTACTTCAAGGTTGTGAAGGGGAAGAGTGCTTTAGCTCTAGTTGGTGTTGGGGATGGAGAAACTCACAGTCGGCGACGACTATGCGGGAGCTCGACAGGAGCTTCTGGAACTCCGCCGGCGACTTGATGTGAACCGTACTCATCTTCGCAGCCCGAAGTGGTGGTGGTTCAATGTCGGTGGAATGTGACGATGTTGTTGATGATGGAACCCAGAAGAAAGCTGCCCCGCGACACACTCAAGGCAGACCTCACTGACGAAAGGTAGCTTACCTACCCCGCACCATGCCTCTCTTGGACTAGCGCGAATCACGTTGTGCACGGATCACCAATCACCAAACCCATCCATCCATCCAGTCTTGTCTTTTGAGTACCATTCTTACACACTGCAGAACCGGGGAGACTGTTTTACACCTTTGTAGCCTTTGTGTGAGCCAAACTATTTACAACGTTCCATCTGTTCTCTTCTTTACCTGATGAACCTCAAATACCACTGACCGAGGGTTTGATCTAGATGTCTGCCAATGTTGTGTACGATAGCGGATTGGAAGCTCGAGTTTGACAGTCTGATCGAAGTCGAACTGCCCAGAAGCCTCGGCAGGTGTAGGGCAAGATCCATCCTTTGCTTGGTTTGCCGACACACTCATGGAGCTTTCCCGTGGTACTTTATTCTTTTGGATGTGCCGTCGCCGTCCCTCTTCGCGCTCGTGAGCAGCGGGCGTCCGGTGGATGGGTGGGATGTAGGCGATGTGGAGGCCGTCCGGCTTCCTGTCGACAGTACAGAGACCTTCTTGGCCAAGCCAGAAGACGAACTCATTCAAGGATTTCCACTGCGTTGGCTGTATGCTTGGATGTTGTGGGTTTTGGGTATACGTCTTGTAGACCTCGTTTGCAGACACCCTTCGTGATTGGTGTTTCGTTCGTAGAAGCTCGAGGAATCCGTTTTGGAACTCCCAGGACTCTTCCATGTTCCGCTCCAAGTCATCTGTGTGCCCCGCATGCTTTTTCATGTCGTCTACGCTCAGGAGGGATATATTGCAGGCAGCGCAAACCGCAACGAAAGCACTTGACCACTGCGTCTCCATTCCTGGGTTTGAGGATGGGCTGGTATGTGCGGCAGCGACGTTCTCTTGGGTCGTTCTTGTGAGCCTTTTTGGTGTGAGGCGGCCACGGTTGTTGAAAAGCCGAGAGGTCCCAATTGAGATTAATAAAAAAAATTGAATGCACGGCACCATGTCTATCCAGGTTGCTTCCCAGTGTCCCAAGCCGAAATTGTGGTGGAACCTGAGGGGGAGTCGGGGTCGGATGCGGTGGCTTGAACGCTCGATGGAAATTCTGTGGTAATGTCCTTTTGACTTACAAGATAAGCCTCACGAGGTTTGGTGAAGGAACAATGAGGGAGCATTGACGGCTTAGAGAATAGAGAGGACGAGAAGATCAAACGCAACGTCAGAGAATGCATGACATAGTATGCCATCGGTGTCATGTTGATGTCTACAGCAGCTAGCTCTATTTTGGTACTTCTAGAAAGCCTGATCAGGGCTTCGTCATCTACCAGGCGATGCTCGTCCCGTTAAAGTTCAAATGACTATCTCAGCTGAGCCCTGAGGTTGTCTGTAAGCTCATGGCTTGAGAGTTTCCAGCACCTCCTTACCCTCCAGCCCCGGCAATTCCTTCTCCGTGATTTGCAACGCATCGAGGGTTGCCTGCTGGCTGAAGAAATTCTCAAGAATTCTCTTTGAGTCTCCCCATGTAGCTGCACCCTCATGCAGGGTACCAAATATCCTTACTTGCTCATTGTCACGGAGCGCGAACATCTGCGGTGACTTGAGGTTATCAGAATCGGGGCGAGAGCAGATGATGACCTTTTGACACTTTGGTGCATGCTCCAAAATCCATTTCATAGTCGCAATGCAGTCGTTCTTAGTTGTGAAGTTAGTGCACTCAACAGCAATGATTTTGCAGTTGTCCAAAGGAATTTGCGCATTACTAGGATGCCACATAAAATCCTGGATGAAAGCAATGTCTCTGTTGTTATTGAACCAGCACCCGTAAGCCCTCAAGCCATTGCGGCCGAATTGGAAATCGCCGTGCTTCTCGGCAACTTTTCTTGACTCGCTACAAGTGTGGAGAATTGCAGGCCGTTTGTGCTTTTCAAGGAGGCAGATGTTGTCTTCGGCGTCGCGCTGAGGGCAGAAAATGCGAGTGCCAGGAAGCGCCAGCTCCCATATCATGTGTCGAAGCTCACTGGGCAGCCTTGAGAACCTGTGGAAAGTTGGACCTAGAACCATTTGAGCTTTCTTGGTTCTCTTCCAAAGGAAGACACGGAACTAACGACCGATCATCGGGAGTCGCTCGATGATGCGAGTCTGGACCTCTATCACATCGATGAGTTCCTTCTGGATCTCTGTTGTTGCACAGTAGTTAGCCAGGCATTCGTGCGAACTGCTGAGGTTCGGTCATTACCCATCAGCCCCTTCGTTTGGGAAGGCGCTCGGCATCTTGCGCTTTGCTCAGCGCCCATCTGTGCCATCTTTTCGATGATTCGGAATTGCTCCGATATTCCCTGGGCGGTGGCGGCGGCGGAAAGGTGTAGTCCATCCATATTGGAAAAAAAAACTTCGTAGCTTGGTGACATTTCCTATTGTGTAGTGGAATGTGACTAGCGGGTGAAAGAAGAAGTGCGAGGGAACGAAGAGAGGCAGAGGTCTGCGAGGCATGGGGGAAAAGAAACCGTTGGAGGGAGAAGGAGGAGGTGGCTTCTGAGAAAGATGGAAGGAGCGTGTACCGAAAATTGGGTAAAAGGGCAACAACTTCCATGGATCTGGAAAGTGCCAATGCTCAGTGGTGAGTAACCTCGAGGTTTCGTTTCGACCAAGACTCCGGGGCTGGACTTCGGAACAGAAAGTGATGGCGGGGCCTTTGCGATGCTGTAGTCCTTTCCGTTTGACACGTCACTAACCACTGACTAGAAAAGACTCGATAAGCGAAGAAAATTATAGGGATATGTGTATTGGTGTGAAAAGAGGACTTCAGCTAATCTACTTGCCGGCCAGTCCCGAAGCCGATAGTCCCAGGTAGTCGACCCGTGATAAAAACGAATCCCTCCCAAAGGAACTTTTAGCGCCGTATCTGAGATGCTCACTGTTCGCATCCCAAGTCCAGCCTCTTCGATAAAATGTCGACATTGCCACAGCTGCTTTGCTTACGGTCTAGCATAAGCTTCACTTTGTGTTGCTTCGACGTGATCCTTCTTGGTCAAAGATTCTCCGCATCCCTCTGCAAATCCAGCTCTCTGTTCGCCGTCATCAAGTTCGCTTGTTGAACAGAAGCTCCATGCCTTCAAAAACGAGACGGCGGTCCTGTGCTCCCAGGCAGTTGGACTGAATCTTCTCCAACCTTTTCTTCAGTTTTGCCCAAGTGGGCCATTGCTGGCCGCCATCATCATCGTTCTCATCTTCATTGTCGTTTTCATCGTCGTCGTTGTCGTCGTCGTCGTCATCCCAGTCCTCAGGGATGGGGACATAGTCACGGTCAAGCAATTTGAAGAGCCGCGCATGGTGGATGTCTTCAACGCTCCCCAAAATCTGCGGACGGATTGTGACGATGAGTTTTTGGCATTTGAGGTCGTCTCTGGCCCACTCCATTTGAGAAACGCAGGACCTCTGTGAGAAGAGATCATACCATTCCATTGCAATGTTCTGAGTATGAGCAGCCTTGATTGCCCGCTCAGCCTTGCCGGACAACTCATCATATTGAAGAAACACGATATCTCTGCTCGGATTGAACCAGAATCCTTGAGTACGAGTATTTCTCCATCCGAATGCGAATTCTCCATTCTCTTCTGTGACCAGCCAAGCCTCTTTGCAAGCAGATCATATAGCAGGAGGTTTGTGGTCGAGTGTGAAAGCGAGAGCAATATAGCCTTCATTGTCCTCATACGGCATGAAGACGCGAGCATCTGGCAGTGCCATCTCCCAAACTATCTCGCGAATCTCGGGCGGCAATTGGTTGAAGCGTGGGAAGGCCGTGGCTGCCAATATCATATTAGTTTTGAGAAGGAAATCAACCGGAGACACCTACCAGGTATTATTCGGCCGAAGTCGCACTTGCTGGCCGCTTGAGTTTCATTCAAGCGCTGTATGGTGCTTGCCTGGGACTGGATAGTCTTGATGATAGTTTTCTGAACCTCTAAAATATCGTTCGTTTGGGACGCGGAAAGTGCACCTTGCGTGGCGAGGGCACGCGCCATTCTCGTGATGACCTCGCACTGTTTGGCAACAGTGCTGGAAGCCGCCTCGATCAGGCTCATCATTGAATCCATTTTGGTAATCTGGGTATTTAGGTAGGCTGTGGTGGGTTGGTTGTGCGAGGTGAGAAATCTCGGGTTGGTTGTAGAAAGGGGGAGGGGAGCAAAACGTGGAGAGAAGAGAGAGAGAGAGAAAGATGAAAAGTCCGTTGAATGAGGAAGGAGCGGCAATTTTCAGGCAGTGGCGTCTCTCGTTCTATGGATGATAGTTGAAGTGGTAAACCGAGTAGAGGTAACAACAGCGACGGACAATAATAACGGACGACGACGATGACGACAATATTAGCTTGATAGAGCACATTTGAACCCCAAGGAAAAGTAGACAGTCTCTTATCTATTAATATCTATAGCCATTCTCGCCCTTGATGTCTTTCCCCTTTGTCGTCCTTAGCCTGTGACTGACCTCCAGTCCATGTGATTCCTCTAGTCGCTGTCAAAATTCTTGACATGGCCATTTTGAACTTCCGTTATATCCGTCCATAGTTCTCTGTAGCATCGCGTATTCGATGTAAAATGAGCTCGACCCCCTCGATTTTGAGAGACCGCTGTTTGTCAGATCCAGCAATCTCCTTCAGCCGACCTTCTAGATATTCCTTTGACATCACCCACATAACTTCGTCATCTTTAGGAAAGTAGTTCCAATCCAGCCAAGTATCACCCGAATCTTTGGAGGCGATGATGGAGTCGTCGTCTATCGGCTGAAGCTCCGGAATGAGACCCTCTTCACCATCGAGACCAACATCATCAAAGATGATGATGATGAGGCGGCGAATATTTGGCAACAAGTCCCAAAATGAATCAAGAACGCGGTCAAAATTTTCCTCCAGAGACACGTCCCGCGAACAGATGGCGAGATTTCGAACACGCTCGAAGAACTGCCCGTTTTCGAATTCTCGGTTCCACCGTTTCCAGTCCAAGATGATGTCCGTATCCGGGTCGAACCAGAATCCCGGAAAGTTTTCTCCAAACTCTTCGTATCGCAGTCCAAGAGAATGAACCCAATTCTTTTGAGTGATCTCCCATGCTTCGTGACAGACGCCGCGGATGGCCGGCGGCTTAGGTAGGTTGACAAGTCGCGCGGTGTCGGAAAGCGTTTCGAGAACGTCGCCGGTGATCTCGATTGTACGAGCATTGGGCAGGGCGGCATTCCAAATCTTGATACGTAGTTCAGGAGCGAGCTTGCAGAAGTAGTGGAAGGTCGCGGCTGACTGTGTCTGTTCCGCATCAGGTGCGTCGACATCAATCGTATCGGACCCCATTTTTGGTGATTGTTCGTCGATTCTCAAAGAAATTAGGGAGAGCGTATGGGATGTAGTTAAGCGAGTGTCGTTGAATGTGTGCGTTGTTCTCAGAAACGGGAAACTTTTCGAAGATATGGAGATTGAACTGTTATGTCTCGCGACTGCCCTCCGCATGCTTCTTGCCTTAAAGAAGTCCAGGTGGTCCTTCCCTTGCAAAAGTCTGAGGCGCCTCCCTATCACACGTTTTAGTCTCGTCGACGTGAAATTCGCAGCAGGTCGCAGCCAGCTGCCTTCCTTCTTCACTCCCAATTCGTTCAGGAGGCCCCTGCCCTTCTGCCTCAACCACCCACCTGCAAATACGACGACACAACAAACTACCATCAGTCTCTCCATCGTCGTAATGTTGAAGGTATTTGGCGCAGCACGCTGGCTTCTGGGCCTTCCGCCCGCCAATGCCATCGAAGCTCCCCAGCCAGGTAAGCCAAGCATCCTTGTGCATGAACACCGTTCTGACCGGATTCGAACAGTCGCGGCAACGACGCTCCATCGCTTCCGAGAGCTCCCGCCCGAGATTCGGCGTGGCATCTGGGACCTTGCGCTTCCTCCGTCACGGGTTTACGAACCGGAGGCTTCCTCCACGGATGTTATGAAACCAGTAAAATTCCTTACAGAGTTCCCCCCGCCTACCATGCGGGAAGCCTGCCGCGAGGCGTATGGTGTGTGCATGTCGAGAGGGTGCTTCCAGTTCGGCTACTGGGCGAGTCGCATGCGAGGCATCTGGTATAATGTCTTCACGGACGCGATATACTACACATGCGAAATGCAGTGCACTAGAACACAGATCGAAACCCCCGCCACCATCTATCTTTCCGCAGATTGTGCGCTCCGCTCGCCAAACTGCCGAGACTTCCTGATGTCACCAAAGTTCGACTACTGCGAGAGGCTGATAGTCGCTGTCTATCCGCCCGGTTCCTGGGAGATGGATGCGAAGGAACTCAGGGGAACGGAACCAGTCTTCCGGAAAATCATGGACGGAGAATCTGTCGGCTATCATGGATTTGACGATACCGATTGGCCCATGGAAGAGAGACAAGTTGTGGAAGGCTATGATGCGCCTGAGAGCGATATCATTGATTGGGAAGATGCCAAAGAGGTGATCTTGAACATTTTCGAGAGACGAAAGGAGATCTTACGTGAGATCAATGAGGAGAGGCCCAACGAAATCACGGTCAGAGAATATCACGAAGGAAATCTGGAGGTGGAGGCTGTGGAGGTCTTTCGAAAGCCCATACCCAAGGCTTTGCCAGCTTGATCAGGCGGTGAGCAGGATGAGAGAGCGCCGGTAAGACGGGCCGATATTGCTGAAGCGAAGGGAATAAGAGTACAACACTGGCAGGCTGTACACTGGGACACGATGTTGAAGGAACAATACATCTAGACATGGGGACAAAATCAGAAGAAGAGATCATGGGAAGGAGTACCGAAGAGAGAACAGGGCAGGAACAACGATACGATGACACGACACGAATCTCGCTTCGATGGGTTTCTCTAGCAAAGAAATAGCCAGCAATTAGAAGAGTTTATCAAAAGAAGACAATGCTACGTTCAGACACCACAAGTCAAGACCCCATTTGCCAAGTCATCGTATAAAGAGGAAACAAAATCGTGTGTGTGTCTTGCCATAAGTCATCTCGGGGACCTGTCGGAAAAAGCAACCCTTCCGAATCCAACACCTTGCGAGTCCTGATGTTTTGCCTGAATATGATACAATCCCAAAAGTCGTGAGTTTAAAGAAAAGCCGGACCACCTGCCCTCAATGATACTAGTCAAACAGAGTGTGCTTGGCTCTCAGCATCTCCATACCGACGAACTTGGGCACCTTGCCCTGACTGAGACCCTTGGTCTGGACCACGTGCTCCATCCACAGCTGCTCGACGATGCGCTTGACGTCCCTCCAGACGGCGACGTTTCCTATCTCCGTCGACATCTCGGTGGGGTAGTCGTGGTGGCCGATGGTGTCGTCGGCCTGAAGAGGGTAGAGCTTCGCGGGCAGGCGGGGAGGAGGAAGACAAGAGCGATAATCCCAGTCAACGGCCTGGAGCATGATGACCTCGCGGCAGGATGTGAAGTGGGTGAGGATGGTGTCCATCTTGGCGGTGCAGTTGTCCTTGGTCATGAGCTTGGTGTGGGGCAGCGCGACGCGGACGATGCGGGACATGTCGATGTTTGTCCAGCTGGAGGGCTCGGCGCGCAGGTAGAGGATGTCTTCGGAGTGGTTGAACCAGACGCCCTTGTACTCACCACCGAAAAGACCGAACTCGAAGGCACCTGCCTCCTTGAAGGCGGCGTTGGCTTCCTTGCAAGCGAGGCGGAGCTTGGGCGTCTTGTGTGTGGTAACGCACATCTCAGGCAGACCTGAGTTCATACGGACGGTGGCGGGGTTGGCCTGGTTGGGATCGTGGGCGCGCATCATGCGGTGGAAGTGGCCATCGGGGCCAGTCATCTCAAAGATCCTTCCGCCGGGGAGGGCGAACTTCCAAATCTTCATGCGGAGCTCGAGAGGGAGCTTCTTGAAGAAATGGAACTCAAGCTTGGCCGCCGAGTGACGGGAGGCTCTTTGGGCCTCGAAGTCGATGCCGGTGTAGGACAGAAACCTACCGACGGTCTCCCTCTTCTTGTCCTGGTCTGCTACGTCATGTTAACATGTATCTTCAGTGGCAAGGCAAGGAAAAATCATGCGCTTCTTGTCCCGGCGGTTCTTACTCTCGAGCTTCTTGACCCTCTCCGTGAGGTCGCGATTCTCTTGAATGGCGGTGTCGAGACGGGCACGGAGAGAGTCGGGGTTGGCGAGGCGGGGCTGCACCGGGCCGTTGGCCATCTCGGAAGCAACAGCGGCGCGGACGTAGCCTTGCACGGCGGCCATCAAGTTCTGGGTGGCGGCAGCCAGCGGGTCGACTGGAGGGGCGGCCATGATGCTGGGTCGGGTTCGGTACCTGTATGAGATGAGAAACTGGGTCTGACACGGGTTCTGGCGGTATGGCGAAGATAACTCACCTGAGTCGCGGCACCGAGAGGGTCTGAGCGAATGGAGCGATCGGGATGAGCAACGCTTTCACTGCGGAGTGAGTGCGATGAAAGGGACAGACATGAGACTGAGTAATTGTTTGCTGCGATGATGTCAAGAGAGGCAGCAAATGGATGTGGAGTGAATGAGGCGAGGGGTCGGTTGGGTGTGGAGGCGGCGGCGGCGCGTCGTCGTGGGCGGCCGAGGGAGCGAAAAAAGAGCGATCGTGGTGGAAGGCAGTTGAATTGGAGGCAGGAAGTGTGTCAGATCCGCTCAGATTTCGGGGGAGGCGGCGACCGACGAGCGTCTCCTGCCTTCCTGCCTTGAAGGTCGGCGAACGGAGGAGGAGGCAGCACCGCTTGAGGACGAGGTGAAGTTGAAAAAAGATGGGGGCCTCAGGCTGGAAAGTGCCGTTGATTGATTGTGTGCGCGTTTGCTTTCCTCCAACCTGACTGACTGATTGACTGCAGCGACTGACAGATACCCTTACCTCAGTTTGGTTGGTGCCGGTACCACGTTTGTGTGGTGTGTCCCGGCGTGCGAGGTGTGCGTGTCGAGTTGTGTGTAAAGTGCAGACCGACCTGACTGGGCTGGCTGGCAAGCTGGAAGGGAACCTGGAGGGAAGCACACCGGTTGTGCAGCGTGCCTCCACGGGGCACCTTGGCAAGCTCCCCCCGCCATGTGGTGGACAGGGATCCCAGCGACGGCGGGAGCGATGCTAGCGCCCGGGGAAGGTGATGCTCGTCGTGCACGGGCCCTCAGTTCGGGTGATGTTGCTGCATTTGGGTCCTCTCCAGTGCCCCAGGGCATTGCCGACGAGTTTAAATTCAATGAGGAGAGTGGCTAGTCTGCGGCGTATTATTGATTCATGTTTCGTGTTGTTGTCTGTTTTTACCATTATGATTTGTATGCAAGCCTCAATTGTTGGGTTGCCAAAACAGGTTCTTATTGATCAAGCCGCAAAGCTTCAAGTTGTACGAGACGGACATCGCACCTATGTAAGGTAGCTAAAGTACCTCCTACCAATACTTGGACGCCATCTCACAGCTACATGATGGCCATGTACATGATTGCGAACTCTGGGCCCCTTTTAAATGGCGTCTTATCTTTTCGCTTGAGATAAGAGCGCCGTACCGGTGAATGAGCGCGTCCGGCTCTTCACCGACCGGAGCCCAGCCAGTGACAAACGGCCAGTAATGTACCTGCCCTTCCAGACCCATGTCGACGTGTGCTTGGAAGGAGCCCTGGGAGGGCTGCCAAAACACACCGGCAAACGGAGGAGCTGCTCCCCGCCAATAATGCCTGCAGCAAAGCGGCACGGGAGCCGCCAGGCAATAAAAACACGGGGACAAGACCGCTGCAACGTTTGTTGGCCTGTTGGGTATTATGGAGGTATCCATGGCTGGCTGGCTGGCTGGCTGGCTGCCCTTACATAACCTCAGTCATTCACCATTCACATGCATTGGCGGCCGTCTGTCTGCCCTGGGCTGTCAACGCAAGATCTACGATGGAAACATAAACCTTATTTAATTACTCGACGAGGATCAGCCAGTGGCGCAACGGGATACAGGTCGTGAAAGACTGGCTTACGAGGTAAGACAGACAGACCTTCCCTCTGTCTCTGGACCGTGTCGTCGGATTTTGGTTTTCGGGTCTCGTCAGCAATGTGACGTGTCGCTTGTTCAGAAATTGACAAACATGCAGGGACAGATCTGACATCCATGTCGCTGATAGAAGTCAGAGCACATTTTGTCATCTGCAGCCCTGGGGGAGATTTTGGGGAGGGGGGAGGGGGAGGTTCATTTACACAAGCCCGGTTCTATTCGCTCAATAATTCTAATTTTTCCTTATATTCACAAATGCCCCAAGCCTGTATCGACTGCACGCTGATGCGTTTGCTACATATGACGAAAGGAAGATATCAAAAGCAAAACAATTCTGTGGAACCCTCTTTTTCTACCAAGGGTTGGGCGCGACAACGGTGTAGTTTCTCCAGCCACCGTTGAGTCGCGCGTGCTCGATGGCCTCTTCATGTTGGTCCAGGGTGAACACGGCCAGCTCGCTGCCGCTCTCCTTGCCGATGCGCAGCTGGCCACCCTCAATCATCCTGATCAGCTGCTCGAGCGTGCGGCGCTCGCACATCCACTTGCCCTGCAGCTTGAGGTTCATGATGCCGAAGGAGGCGTAGGGGATAGTCAGAGTCTCGCTGGCGCCACCGCTGAGGATGATTCTGCCCTCGCGCTTGAGCACGCGCAGAGCGGCGCCGAGGTACGGCGGGTTCTTGAGCTCGCCGGGGGTCCAGTCGTTGTAGATCTCGGCGCCGGTGCCGTTGGGGGTCGCTTGGCGGATGGCTGCAGCGTCGGCCTCCTCGTCGCCAGTCATGACGACGGTCTTGAGGCGGGGGTGGTCGTTGAGCTTTTTGCGCATGGCGGCGAGCTTGTTCTCGCTGCGGCCTAGCGCGATGACGTTGGCGCCTGCGGTAAGGGCGACCTCGACGGCCAGGCCACCAAAGGAACCTCCTGAAGGGCCGATGATGACGGTCTCGGCCACCTTGACATCGGCGGCCTCGAGGAGGGCACCCGCGGCGACGGAGTAGTGTGCGATAGAATGTAAAGCTGCGTAGTCATATCCAAGCTCGCCGCACAGACGCTTCTCGTCGAGAAGGTAGACATTCTCGAGGGGCACCTTCTGGTACTGCTGCAGTGAACCGTCACGCCACTCCTGAGTGAGCTTCTTGTCCTCGCCGTGGCCGCCAATGTGGCCGATCATGATCATCTTTCCGGGATCGTCACGGCCACGGGTGGTGGCGTCGACGTAAACAAGGTCGCCTTCCTTGACTTTGACGGCGTCGGGGCCGACTTGATGCACTCGGCCGATGGCATTCGGGTTGGGCACGTAGGGGGGAGGGAGGGAGACATGCTCGAGCTTGCCGGAGTGGAAGAGGTGGGTGTAAGGGACGATAGGAGCAGCAAGGATCTTTACGACGACTGTGCCGGTGGGAGCGTCTGGGATGGGGAGGTCGATTATCTGAGCGGGCTCCTGGTAGGATGCGATCCAGAGGGCTCTGTTGCCGTTTGAGGAGCTCATTTTGCTGGGTATAGGTAGAGGTATTTGTGAGGCTTGGGGTAAAAGATGGATTGGAATGTCGGCTTCATCGTAAGAACGGTCTTCGTTGCTCGTGGGCGACTGCTTATTATTATCATGAACACGGGGGACTCGGGCAGGTGTCAATGTTTCTCGGGCCGGATCATGAGTCCGAGTTTAAACGGGGGACGGTGGAGATGGCAACCTCACCACCGCAAATCGGTTGGTCTCCAAGGCCCGTGTAAAGGGGCATACCGGGGCGCCGTCTGTTTGGGAAGATGATGGCGGACTCCGGTTCCCCGTGCAACTCCCGAGGTTTGTCTCGTTGTGCCGTGATACTTTCCCGAGCATCAAAGGCCTTGACATGGTCTGTCTTGGCTAGTTCTCCCAAGGCTTGATCCAGTCAGAAAGATTGGCGGGTTTCCATCGATGTAGCGCGTTGTGCCTCTCAGGTTTGGTAGGTATGATGCCCTGTAAGTGCAAGCGCCAAGCGCTCACCAAGTGCCCCCTCCGATGGAACCTCTGCCGTCCGCCCCGCAAGGGCGCCGGTCAACTCTGATGACGGCTGTCCAATCCGCGAGGATCGGCTCGGGAGTGGGTCCGATCGATGGTCTGAACAGGAAATAGTGAGAGCGAGGTATGGATGGACATGACTAGCGAAGACCGGGGTCGTTTTGACCTTATATCGCCTATGCCCCAGAGATTGTGATGTTTCCTTGGGCGGCCGGTTTTTTGCTCTTTGTCCTTGCTCCCGCTTATGTAAGTATACAGACGACAACGAGGATGGATGATCTGCGACCACTGACCTGGATGATTTTTTTCATCTTCTTCGCTTTATTGTTTGTTTTCCTTCCGGTTGGGAGTAAATATATTCTCGATCTTGAAAAAACGAATAGGGTTGATTTTCTTTTATTCGTCTTGATAAACTCGGAGAATTTTGATACAGCGTTGACCCAACCTGGCCGGTGTTCGCCCACCGGCTTGCGACATTCTGCCTTTTTTTCTTGAAATATGACCCTTGCAGCGGCACGGGAGCTTGGCCGCGCAGAAGTCAAATTGAAACAAACTTGCAGTGCAACAGCGAGGTTGCGGACGCAAATGCCTTTCTTTTGACGAAGATTCTACCGGCGGTTTGCTGTTGTACCTAGGCAGTGGTCTCTTCGCCATAGCTGGGCTGACGGAAAGACCATACATCATAGCAATGTCTGTTTGTGTCGGACAAAACCAGCGTTGAGCTTTGGGTTCTTTACCGCAATAAAGGAAGTAGGGAGCGACCAAGTGGGGCACTCTTTCCTCTGCTCATGCTTTCTACCTACAGGAAAGCTTTCAACCACTCAGGTTGAGGAATTTACCGAGTCGCTGAAGGGATTGATTTTCTCAAAAAAGCCCGAGCCAGATTCATGAGGTCTGCTTAAGGATTCATATTTCATTCAAGGCTTCAGGGGGGGAAATATCAAAATGACTGAGTGAAGGGGGCCTCCCTCGAATCGAGTTGCGATAATATGATCTCTCATCAGAGAAGATCTCTGCTTCCGCGGAGTACTAGATGGGCCTGGAATACATGTAGACTCCTTCCCTCTTGGTAAGCACTGGGCAAGGCGAAGGTGAGACTGAAAGAACAGAAGGGGAAGGATCACTTACCACAGCACACCAGCTACCTGCCGACCTGGCATTCTCATCTGCCTCAGAATTTTCACACAAGCAGTTTTCTTTTGAGATTTCTGAGATCCTAAGTTTGCTGCACTGCACCCGAGTGTTCTTAGACACAACCAACCCAGTCACTCACGCATATCTCATCTTTTTCTACAGACCAGTTCAACATCGGGTTTGTTGCGTGCCATCGTCTTTCAAGTTCCTTTGAATTTGAATTAGTCCCGACTGCCTACTAACCGTGTATCTCACGAGTTCCTAAAGATGCGCTCCTGGGCTCATGTCGCCTACCTGAAGGGCATGAAGCCTAGCCCCCTGAGGCAGGATATCACCATTGAAGCCGAGGAATTCCTTCCCGTCCTTGTCCGCGGAAAGCCTCACCCCTGCTGCATCTCTGGCAGCACTTCATTCTGCTGTCCTCGACCAGGAGAAGCTCACTCGGGAAGGCCAAGGCAGCTTGACGAACTTGGAGCCTAGCTCTAAAATTCAGTCAGCTTGTGCTGCAAACTTGAAGAATCCCTCACCTTGCACTGACAGTGTTGTGGATTTTCCTCCTCTCACTTCGACCAAGACTTCTTCTGGATCCTACAAAAACACCGACATCACTACCGCCAACGAAGATAGCAGAGGCGACGACAGCGAGAACGACGACAGTGAAGACATTAGCAGTGACGATAGCGACAGCGACGACAGCGACAACAGCGAGATGGCTCATAAAAAGAACCCGAAGCGCGCGGCCAAGAAGAAGGTCCAGGCCAAGGCCAGAAAGGCGGCCCGCGAAGCCATCGACACTCCCATCGGCAGCGGCGGCCGCCCCGCGGCGTCCGTCGAACTGTTTGCCGAAAAGAAGAAGTTGACTCGGAAGGAGAAGGTCAAGCTGGACAAGGGCAAGGGCGTCGCCGTTTCTTTCGAGGACTCTGAGTCGGAGGACGAGGACTCTGCTGTGGCTATCGAGGAGGAAGACAACGGAGCCGCTGCTGCTGCCGCCGCCGCCGAGGATGAGAAGGAGGAAGTCGAGAAGGAGGAGGCTCTCGCCAAGGCGGTGCTCGCTGCGCGCGAGAGAGACCGCCGCCGCGAGTGAGTGACCCGACAAAGTGAATACCAGTCGTCTACTGACTTTCGTCTTCGCAGGCTCTTTGGTGCCAAGCACGGATGGGATGTCACCCTTGCCTTCAAGAAGGGTAGTATGAACGCCTTGGCTCACCGCGATATTCTGGTTGCGGACTCGACCTGGTTTGCCGAGCACCTTCCCCCTGCTGACGCGGTAAGGCATGCGCTTGACTTCACAATAACTGCATCCTAATCGTGTTTTTGAATAGAATGGCAAGACGTTCCTGAAGATGGACGAGTACGACGTCAAGCAGGTTGGCCCTATCATCGTCTTTCTCTATAACGGATGTAAGAAAACGCCTGCGAGCTCCATTATGGTGCGGATTTCTGACGATTTCTCCAGTTCTGGTAGGCATGAAGGTCGACCGAGGCCAGAAGAAGTGGGATGCGCGCTTCGTTCTCTTCAACGCCATGAACTACCGCACTTGCGTCAAGCTCGACATCGCCAGCGGCTGCAAGTACTTCCTCGAAAACGTCAAGGAGGCCGTCGAGTACTACGGCCCCCTTCTCTCTGGCCGCTTCTACCACTACCAGTTTACGCAGCCGGGCCTGATGGAGAGCTTCGAGATGCCTATTCGCATGGCGATGATTTGCATCTATGAGGAGAAGAAGGCGAAGCCCGAGGAGATCCGCAAGATGAAGCTCTTGCTCGCGAAGCTGGTCGTGATCGTCTTGCCCTTTTGGCGCCGCCAGCATGCCTTCAAGGACCCGATCACCCGGTTCTGGAGCGACCTCAACTTCCCCTGGCGCGAGGACATGAAGCTTTGGTACTCCCAGGGTCTTCTCGACGAGTATGCCCAAATCTTCGATCGCGACGGCAACTGGCTCGAGGAGGAGGACTTCTACACCGACGTCAATCTGCCCCAGATCCGTCAGCAGCAGCAGCAACAGCAGCTCGGTATTCCTGGTCCCTCGACTGCTGCCCCGTCTTACTACATCGCATCCATCGACGAGATGGCGAAGAAGATGAGAGACGCTCACATCCCGAACTTTTGAAGACCAGGCACGTTTTTAGCCAGTCGCTTCTCAGCCTGGATTTCTTGCTGTTTGCACCTCACTGTCGGTGACGAGCTTCGACATTCGGATACTTCGCACTTACCATCGCTTTCAGCAACCCCTTCCATATGGGTTCTCATTGTGGATATTGGCTTCGACTTTGCAATGGCTGAGAAACTACTGGCTAGAGTTTCTCTACCAGAGGGACTAGTCTGAGCACAGAACTTACGGTGGCTTTCTGACTTGCTTTACCTTGTTTACCTACGACCGGCGGATGCGTACCTGCAGCAGTGCGACGGTTTTGATCCCAGCAATAGGGATGGACGCTCAGATGATGGCAGATACTTGGCCGGCCAGCCTTACGAACATTGTAAATTCTGGTACCGAATGGCTGGCTAAGATCCTTCGAGGTGGTTCGTTGTTTCTTTGTACTAGACGGATGGGCTTGGGTTCCTCAGCTGACCGAGTCGCTTATTGGTCCTTTTGATACCGATACGTGGACATGGACAGATGAGGACTCTTGGGACACTCATCGTCTGTTTTTTGTTTGGTCTTCTTTCACTTTCTGGAACGGAACGAGATACCACTTGGGTTGGAGTTCAGGAATGGTAGATACCCGTGGGTCGACTTGGGAGTTCAGGAGGACGGACAACCACTTGTTTTGTGTAGACATTCGGCCGGGACGGCAACGAAAAGAGATCCGAACATACGCTACTCGCTTTGTCGTGAAAAACTAGCAGCTATCGTGAGCCTCTGTGAACCAGGTCGATGCCGACTTAAGCGGACTGTCGTCCATCTCAAATGCAGGTACATCCCAGTAGCAGAAGCACCAGGAACGACCGTCTTAGGACGTCAGTGGCTGGGCTCGGCGCAGAAACACCCAACGGCTGCTGGGACCTCCCCGCGACAAGCGCTGAAGATGGCGGGGAGGGAGGTTGCCAACGGCGGCGCTAGCGGTTCCGCGTGCCTCGAGCGACAGCGCACGGGTAGCGCACATGCCCACTGGGCCTCGTGTTAGCGGCGGCCCTGCCACCTGATTGCGACCACGCGGGTGGCTGGCCAAGAAACAAGCGTCGGCTGGGTGACATTTGACGCGATACCACTATTGCAGGCATTTTCTTACTTAAGTGTTGCAGACTCGTTCTGAGACGACCCTTTTGGGCCTTTTGGGGAGGTTTGATGCGTTTGGTCGTTGAAACTATTGATACCACTTACCACTTGAAGAAAAGACGACCAATATCTGGCAAGTCTAAGGGCTTTGGTAGCCACTTACACACGATTGCCGAGACTTTACACTGTGTTTCACACACGAAATACAGCCGCAAGACACAGTACGAATCGGCCAGCAATATGTATGAATCGCAGAGGGAACCTCGCCGTCGAGGCCATTCCCTGTTCCCGCCGCGAACCTCAGCACAAAGTCTCAGAAGCCAGTACAGGGGTGTGAACCTGGCCCAGATGATGGAGGACTTTCGGAAGCAAGATGACATCTACATCCCCGTCCCGCCGACGCCACCGCCGCATGCCACCACCCCAGCCCGCCGGCGATCGACCCGATCACTACTTCAGCCCATGGTTCGCTTCGCCTCGCCTACGGACGCCATCACACCGAGACGCCGGCCGAAAACGCCCATGGCAGCACCTATTTCGCGGCAGCAAACACCTGCGTTCCCGTCGGCGGTACCAGAAGAGGAGGAAGAGATGCCTCCGGCCCCGTCCAAGGAGCCATCGCCCATTTCTGTCTACACGGACGCTACGGGAGACGAACACTCCGTCGACCTGGACGGGTTCCCGATGCCGCCAGAGTTCACGGACATGGAGTATCTGACTCCTATCCAGGAGACGGAGGACTGGGTTGATGTGGAGGAGACGACGGGGAAGGTTTACGCCTTTGACCCCGCTCGTCCGTCTGGCGATCACTCAAAAGACGATGACGGGTCTGATTTGGAGACGCCGTTTTCTGACGACTCTACGCTGAGGGGAGAAGAGCCACCGCTGAGCGAGGCATTTTATGTGTACCAGTCAAAGTACACCGGCGAAGGTGTGCTTGGTGGCTTGCACTCTGCGGCTTTGGAGATTGTCCATGATGCGAGGAGGAGGAGGCAGTCTCTGTTCAGATGGCTGTAAGTTCTCAGACAAACATTGTTTCTTCGTCCCTAACAACTGCTAGGCATGTACAACAAGACATAATGAACTTTGATGAATTCACGGTGAGTATTTGCTCAGCAGTATACAGAAGGCCCCGAAGCTGACCATTCCCAGAACGAAATCTCGCGATGCCTCTCGGAAAACGAGCAGAATGACATCCGGAAGCTTCTCTCCAACGTGAGGAAGAACTATTCCAAGACAGTCAGAACCAGCCGGCAAACCACGGTAAAGCACATGGAGCCGAGCTACCTCCAACTGTCTCTACAAAAAGGGGAACATGAGAAAGGGTCGACTCCGGATAAGCGAACGGCAACATGGCTCTGTGTACCCTACTTCTCTCTCGAGGACTACTCTGGAATCCTGGCCACTGGAAACCCAGGGGCTTACCCTCCCCAGACTCTGTTGCAAGCATCGTTCTCTCGAAACTCCCAGAAGCGCGACATGCAACAAGCTACGCGGCAAATTGGGAACGGTGATAAGAGTTCCTGCTTTCACATTCGCCAGCTTTGGTGCATCGTTCTCGACAACTCCCTTCTCATCACTTGCGGTTCGATGTCCGAGGCGGCCCTGCGAGGCGACAGCGTCAGCGTGGTGTCAGAGCCGGCGAAAGACCCTTCTCACAGCGCAGAGTCTGGGCGGATCCTCGTTCAGTACGGGGAATCAGTCTTATGGTCTTTTCCTCTTGAGGAGTGTCAGACGTGGTTTGCGTTCATCGCCCACTTCGCCGACTTCTGGCCCAAGACAGTGCGCTTCCACTTTAACGGCCGTCAGCTGGGCGAAGCACGTTGGTGGAAGGTTTTGCAGTTTGCTAGCATATCACGCAGAAATGTCGTTGTCACGATGGAAATCTGGTCGGTATATCAGCTCCGCAGCTTGCCGGATGTAGCTAACGGGAAACAGTGCGCCACCTCAACTTCCGCCGAGCGGCATCCTCCGACCCATCAGACAATCAGTGAGCAACACTCGGTCTCAGCCCGGTGCCGGCCTTCAGCCGGCTCCCCTTTCACCCGGAAAACGGTTGAGCTATCCGCCGGGACATGGAAAAGAAAACGAGAGGTTTCACATCTTCAGCTGGGCTGACGCTCATATCTCAAGCCCGGTCGAGGGCCCCAACTTTATTGTCCTACAAAAACAGCTTTCCGAAGTAGAGGATTTCTTGACTGCCGAGACAAACGGGCCGGACCGGCGAGCTTACTTGGATTCCGAGGCGTCTGGTCGAGACGAGGTCTACGCCTACCTTGAACAGCAGGGGGCTGCCATCCAGGAGTTAAAGAACAAACCTTGGAAGAAGCAGGATTACGAAGACCGCGTTGACATATTCAACGCTGCCGACACTCTGTTCAGATTTTTCCTGCCTCCACTGTTTGACGGGCCAACAACTGAGCGGTTCTGGGGGGCTGTGATGAACCTCGTCTGGGTGAGTTTCCGTCTAAAGTTTGCCGCAAACTCAAACTGTCGCTAAACTACCTTTAGGTCCCCGTTACCGACTCCGCAGATGGCGAACCTCACCCTCACGGACTCGACAAGAGACGACGCGACGCCGTCTTCGCCAACGCCCCAACGATAAGAAAAGCTTTGCGACAACTCGCCCTCCCTGTCATGGCTTTCAAGAGCATCCTGTCTCACGCTGAACTTACGGACCGCCTGGAGATCGATGTGCCTATTGACCTGATCCGTGCTTGGCTTCATCTGGTCATGGGTCTGATCTACGCCAGTCATGAGACACACATGTGGGAGGACCATCTGGACGTGGCCGACTCTTTGGTGAAGAGCGGCATGAAGCACATCATGGAACGCCTGTCAAATCTTAAGCTCTTGGAACGCTCTTCCGTCCTCCCGCTGGAGGTCGTATCCCTGATCGGATACGGACTCCTCTCCAACACGTCTGAAAAGTATGCTGGAATCAGCGACACATACTCTGAGTATCTCGGAGCTTTGGTAAGTCTAATTTGGGTTGAACACCGCCGTTTCACGTGCTGAAACTTTTTTCTTCGCAGGAGAACGAAATTGCAAACGGGGCGTCAGACATGACTTATCAGCAGCGAATCAACTTTTTGCGTCAGGAAGTCACCGTGATCAACCGCACGATAGCTGCGCAAAACAGCGTTTTCAACTCTATTTTGGCATCTCGGGACGAAGGTTCATCCACAACACCAAAGCACCGCCGTCTGAACGCGGTCCAGTACAGTGAGGCGAACAGACGAGAGGGTGCGTCCTTGCGGAATCACCTGCGCATGGCGAGGAACAGATACGCCGAGGACGGCGAGGCGGACGTTCTGCTGGCATCCATCGCTGAGGTGTCAGACTTTTACAAGCTTCCGTCCACGGATGCTGCTGGCTTCAGGGATCTCCTCGCCGCAGAGTGCACGCAACTGTTGGAGCGTCGGGCAAGAGACTTTGATGAATATGCTGAACAGGCCGATGTCCTGGAGCAGACGGTAAGCCCAACAAACTTGACTTTCAGCATGGGACGACTTTGCTGACGAGTGGCTAGAATCTGAACAACGCAGCGGTGATGAAGGACCGGCAAGAGCAGGCCATCTATGCTTTCACCATTGTCACAATCATATTCCTGCCCCTGAGCGCGGTGTCGAGCATCTTCGGGATGAACACGAGCGACATCCGTGACATGGAGGCCGGTCAGTGGCTCTACTGGGCCTCTGCGATACCAGTCACCATCCTGGTCATCGTGCTTGGTCTGTGGTGGATGGGAGAGCTAGGCCATCTGTTCAACTGGATGGCCAATAAATTTCGCCGCGAGGACAATTTCGTATCCGGGTTCTCTGCACACGCTGGCATCTCAGAGAAGTCAAATCACCATGACGCGATGGAGGCGGGTGAGCTCCCTTCTC